TGGACGGATGAAAGGAGGCGAGACTACCAGTCAGAGGGAGGTGACAGCGACTAAAGAAAGGGTTCAAGAAATGGTTTTGGCACCAAAGAGACGGGTCAGGCACCCCGTGGGGAGGGAGCCAGGCGGGGCCGGGCTGTTGGCGCCCCGAGCACAACCTGTGCCTTTGAAGGCCCGCACGCTGTGAGCCTGGCAAGTCACCCTTCAAAAGCCTGTGGAGTCGCTGCCCGGAACACGTAGGACGGGACGTGTCTGTCACAGCCTCATTGTGAGGCTTCCAGCTTTGATCAGCCTGAAGTTACATAAATCTTTCACCGGTCGGTGGCAGGGGTGCCGATGGAGGGGCTGCCAGGAGTGCGCCCTGAAGGTGCGGGCGGCGCCGTCCTGCTGCAGAAGCCTGCCGCCCTGCCTGGCTTTGGAATCAGGTCCAGTTGCTGGCACCTAACTTGCTGCTAAATCGAGGGGCACTGACGGTCACTGGGCCTCAGTTTGCTCATCCAGAGAGTGGGGGAATTCTAAAAATACCCCTCCAGAGGTTACGGTGAGGGCTGAGAAGCTGTGTACACAGTGCCGCGTGCAGCGTCCTTGTCAAAGCACGAATGTCAGACATCAGTGAAATCACTAGGGTGGGGGGACTGGGGAGACCCCACCCAGTACCAGCCCGGGCCCTTATCCATGGCAGTGCAGCAGCGCCCGGAAATTCTTGGTTTCATGGAGACACCCGTGGACTATGCTGGGGGCTGATAATGGGTAGCCCCCCAAGGGTGTTCACGATGCAGGGGTGTACTTGCACCCCCTGAGGCTGGCCTCCGGCACAGGAAGGCTGAGCCAGGAGAGGAGAGGATGGTGCAGAGGGCAGGGGCCAGGGCCTCGGAGGACCCCTCTGTAAAATGGGATAAGGGAAAGCCCAGTTCCAGGAGCCGCCCTGAGGGTCGAGGGCGTGGGGACCCCCCGCCCAGCACTCGCTGCTGTGCAGCACCTTGTAAATGCCCCGTAAGGCTGGTTAGGAGGAATGGGGCTGCTCGCCACGGTCAGCCTGGAGC